AACTCTATTACAACTACAACCGAAAAGAATGTATATAATCTCAATATAAAATGTGTCACAAATTACATCTGAGACAATCAAACAATTAATAAAAAACGAAAACAAAACAAACCGAAACTTGAAGTAGGAATTTTCTATATTAATAGGCAATACAAGTATACTCCACCACGAAAATAGAAAACTTCTGGAAGCTCTTTATATAAACAAATTACGGCTAAAAATAAATAAAATCAATTATGTGCATAGCAACAAAGTTTTATATTGCTTATAACAGCAAGGCTTTAAAATATCTAAATTGTAATTGTTAAAAACTACAATTAAACAACATTTTAAAAGATGAAATTATAGTTTTTAATAATGATTTACATAAATTAAGTTACCTTCGTAACATATTTTATTTTATATGCGGTACTTAGCGGAAAGCGCTCAATATCAGTGTTAGAGCTCACATAAGTTTATAGATTTGGGTTTGTGACACCGGGTTTCACGCTTTTGTGATCATCAGACAAACTTTGATAATCACAAGCTGAAACTCAGGGTCAAAAATGTGTGTGCGAATGTAAAGTGAAAGAGAAAAAGAAAGAAATAGCACAAAACGGTAAATACTTCTTTTAGGAAAATCATTTAATTTTAGGGACAATCTCGTTATGTTCCCAAATTAATCCTAATTCACACAAAATTTCAATACTAACACCGCCCCCACCCCTGGTTCTAAAACCCCTTTCCCCCCATGGTCAGCATCTCACTTCCCTACCACTCAACTCCAATCACAATTTTTAAATATGAGGTTATTTTCACATTAAGTTTCGCACAGCGAGAAATCAAACAGGGAACGGAATTTTTCTAATAATTCCACCTACAAGCGGAATCTGTTTACTACAAAAAAAACCAAAAAAACTAATGGTGGATAGTTTCCACCGTCCATCTGTTTATTTCTCGCAGCCACTGGTGAAGAACACGGGCGTGATAGAAAATTCCGAACTTGGAACCTCAATCTCCGTGCTTCATTTTTGTCATTTGGTTCTTATTAATAAATGATTTTCGTACTGATTTCATCGGTACCCTTTCGTTTGACTTTGTTTTATTGACCATCTTATCTACTCTAAACTATATGAAGCATACATGGACTCTTTTTTATGTATAAAAATATTATGTATGTGTGTGTATTTACAACGAATATTGAATATAGTAGATAACTAGAACAGAAAATAATGATATACCAATGTTGATGACATTTGACTCCACCATAAACAAATATCAGAAAGTAAATTTTCATCAGTTATATATAAAGAAGGATAATAATGGTGTCGAATAGCCTATTTTTTCTAGAAGCTCTTGTTTTAAAAAAAAAAATTTTATATATTTGAACCGACTTTAAAGTTAATTTAACGCCTCCCAAACGAACCTTCTCTGTCACCTGAATGACGTCTTCCTGTCTTCCATCAGTATAGTTGACACTAATCTCACTGAGAATGACACGTTGCTCTTTCTTGGGTTAACATTCTCGGTTGGCGTGACGTAGAAATATTATATTAAATCCATTGCTAGGTCTGCTGCTCAGAAAATCGGTTCACTGTGTTGTGTTAGTTTCAGGAGAAAAAGAATTGTCTAACTTCAATATTTATAAATCCAATATTTGTCCATGTTTTGAATATCCCTGTATATTTAGAGCTTCTTGAAAAACGAAAGAATAATCAACAATATTATTGGTTCTGTCTTGACATCAGTTACTTTCTACCACCGTAATGTAGCTTCCCTTTTCCGTTTCTTTAAATAGATTCTTCGGAATTGTTCGGATGAACACTACGCTATGGTAACTAGTCTTTGAGTTTAAGCACAATAATAGAGAGGAGAAATGTTCATCAAGTCAAAGAAGAATTGTCGATATGTAACCGTAAAAGCAATCTTCATGGCACGAAGATTGCGTTGAAGCATGAAACAGACTGTCACATCTTGATGTTGATCTGTGTAAACTTTTATATTTAGATCTGCTTTATCTTTGATATTGGTCACTCTTATTCATAAATAGTGCATACCATAAAACATATATATAATTATTAGGTATACTCTTTTTGTAGCGTGTTGGATCCCTGGTGCCGAAAGCAACGCCTTAATTCTTCTATGACATGGATTCAATAATATTCTGGAAGCACTTTTTAAATTTGTGCACATGTTGCGAAGCCATGACAATTCATCGAGATTATTTTTTGACACTTTGACATATCTATAGTAATCTGTCTATATTTCTGAGATGAGATATTATGTACATTATTTACATTATTCCACTTATTCTCATCTTTGTCGCCTCAAGGTTATATGGCACAGTGGATAAAGGCGTTAGTTAGATCCAGTGACAGGAACCAAAGTGCGTGAATTAATAAGGAGATAACTGAAAACTGACAACCATTAGACATGGCACGTGGAACTAGACCAGTCTACCCCAGCGAGCGAAATAAAGGGTTCAGTTCGACATTCCACCACCTGAAGAACGCTGGAGCGTACAATGGCCGAAACATTATAATAAATATGGCGAAAAAGATGGGGACAATAGTCTGAATAATGTAAATAAAGTTCTGTAGGTGTTCTGTATGATTACGGTTCAGTGATTCTGGAGGTAATTTTAACAGAGAAATTTCTTTGTTTTAATCCACAAACCATCTTTGAGTTTGACACGGTGAATGATCATGATGAAATATCCACCAAAGGATAGATACACAGTTGTCATAAACTAAAGCACTTAGTCAGCCACAATACCAGCATTTAAAAATTTATGCTGATAGCAATGATCCCAATGTATATCAAAAATATGTCCAAGGCGGAAATGAAGACTCGTCAAATCTGGCAACATTGATCTTCTCGTGTACAAAATGTGACTCTTAGTGAATCTGATATCGTTTTCGGTAGTTGTAGATATTTACATCAAGGCCACCTCGGTGTGGTGTAATGGTTAGCAAGCTTGTCTCTATAACAGTTCCGACTGAATAGTGAGTTCGATCCTCACTGGGTTCCGCATACTTTCGGCCTTTTGCCGCATCTATGCTACGCTTAAAAAGAAAAAAATTAGATAGGTAAAGGGTAGGAACAATTCCAGGAGAGACTTGGATATTTAAAAAGGTGCTCAATACACCGTTCAGAATGGAACGTGTTGAGCAGGTTGATATCATGAATAAGAATAAAATATTTACCTTATTCACTGACCAAAGTCTCTTGTAAAAGGCAACCAATACTGTAGTCATGTCATTTTTATCAATATTATAGGACAAGTCAAAGAGAATCATTTTTGCACATACAAAATTTAATTTTAAGTTGACCGATTGCTCTGAAAATGGCAATCAATTATTGCATTATATTGCTGTGAACAACAGTCCTCTTGTTAACATCCCTTTTCATGAAGGATTTGAATCTATTTTACAATGGTGCCTTTTTCTGATTCTGTAACTGAACTTCTCTCGCTGACCGTTCTCACTCGCCACGAAGGGATTTGTCTATGGCATTAGACCATTCGGCGGCCGCTTTATTCGTCGTTACTCACGGTACAACTCATGGCTGTCTTTTTTAGTACTTAGAGACGTCCATTTTTTGTTTACTTTTTAAAAATGTACCGTAAAATGATGGTAGGATGCCCACACACAATACGCAACTCCTAACCTAAGTTGGAAAGGTAAGAAAATAAATTGAGTCTAAAGAATATATATTTTCACGTATATTTCTACATATTCAAAAATATTTATGTATTTTATGTAGTAATATAATTTTCTTTATTCACGTTATTTTGCTTTTCTTCACCAAAAAAAAGTCTTATATGTACCGACAATCTCAAAGATTGGTTTTCAACTTCAGTTTAAAGTAAGAGATTCAAGCAGTTATTTTCACGACAGATGGAATTTCGCCAGTTTAAAGACTAGTGTAAGAGACTTCACGTCCATAATTCCCAGATTTAGCTCTGTGTTTATTAATCTATGTTTAATAGATATTGATAAGATTGATTAGGATGTGTTTTGCAACAGATTTCATTGTTTGTAAAAACTATGTTCGAACAGAAACAAAAAAAATAATGACGTATGCTGTTTTTCGCATCATATGAACCTTGAAACATGACATTGGTACAATGCTATATTTTAAAAAATGACTTCTTTATTAGTTGAACTATGTAATTATGGAGATTTTATATTATTGCAGACTGGGCTCTTTAGCAATGTCCGGAAAACGAACTAGGAGGACAACTCTTAATTCAAAATCTGTGAATGGTAGTTTAGAGAGCTTATAGCACATTATGTACCCGATTCTCTGTGTTCGATTCTTTCAAAAAGTTTGTTTGGGTCTGCCCAAGCCTTCAAAGCGATAAACGAATATTGCGGTTTTGAGTACTCCGTTTTTGGACCGTCGTGTGTCAAAAGCGACAGAAGAGTCCATTATATATATATATATATATATATATATATATATATATGTGTGTGTATGTATATATATATATTTATATATATGTATATATTGTAGAAATTGTCGAGGAATTTTAGAAAGGACTTGCACCGTATCTATATTCAAGGATGTTCCTCAGTTTTCTTTTGAAGTTACGACACATTTCAGTAAATTCACATTATTCCAACAGAAAATAATAATCTAGTTTGACTTCATAAATATGATTCCGTTTCCAGAACATTTTTCTAACGGCTATTCGAATGAAAACATTAGATAAAGCGAAACAAGTGTTTTTCAAGATGTGACTTGATTGATTCATTTTCTACGGCTTTCCAGTGTATTTAAACACCACCACCCTCCAAAAAAAAAAAAAAAATTCCAGATTGTAACATTTATTTTTGGAATTTATGATGTAGTGATACTAGTCTTTGCCAGTCAACTCATAACCGGGAGTAGAGAGAAAATCTGAATTCATACCTTTCCCAAGGGTATTACGCGAAAGTGAATATAACGAACCCAACAAGGGTGGGAACCCGGTTCTCTGATTAACAGTTCCGAGCCATTATCTCCGTACATCAACGCTTACAGCACCTGGTATTACCAAGCATTCCCCCATGTTGCTACTTACTGTGCTTTAATTTGATTAACTTCGGTGATCGTACGGGAACCGGTGTTTTAACGCGAAGTGACCGTAAACTTCAAGATGCAACTGCAAATGGAAATAGGTGACGTTGATTTGGAATGGAGAAAGTCACATGACAATTTCATGTTCGTTTGTTCCATCTCAAATGCAATCAAAGCCCCAGCGTTTTCATTAGGCTACAAAAACGGTATTGTTGACTCATAAAAACGATTATATAGGATCGGGTAAAGTGTTATATTTTCAATGGCATAGTTAATATGCAACCCGTATTTCATATGACGTTGTATTTTGTATAAACGTGTCAATGTAGTCAACTCAATAACAATAGCTCAATGTGAGCTCTATTATTTAGTTCCATATATTTCTTACGAAATATCCACGTTACTTGCATACTTTTAAATCACATTCATTTCCTCCTTTACTTGATTGCCGAAAACAATTCCAGTCAGGTAAAGAAGAGCCATTTTCTTTTTTTTCGAAAGACTCCCACATCGTTGATTTTCCGAATAGTTCGCGCTTGGCATCTTTAATATCCATCATTCAATAGTCTTGATCTTTACCACATTTTCATTCATAAAGCGCACAGTTCCTTCAACATTACCATTTAGAATGTAATCCTCTAACTTGAATGCTTCTCGTGGCTTGTATGAGCTGAATTAGAGTAATCATATATAATTCTTATTCCAGTCTGACGCTCAACTTCTTGAGAGCACTCTGCGGCTGCTCGGGCTCACGTTGACTGCTGACCTGAGATGGAACAAATACATTGAGTCAATTGTTTCGTCCACCGCAAGGAAAGTTGGCTCCCTTTGCCGCACCAGGAAATCTTTTCTCCCCGGAATCGATCCTTCAGATCTACAAATCAACCATTCGCCCTTGCATGGAGTATTGCTGCCATATATGGTCTGGAGCCCCTTCTATTTGCTTCGCGGTTCTTGATAAGCTCCAGAGGCGGATATGCAATATAACTGACCCTGTTCTGGCATCTAATCTACAGTCGCGCTCTCACAGACGCGCCGTCGCCTCCCTGTCTTTTTACAAATACTTTCATGGCAATTGCTCCGAGGAGATGCATTCGCTGGTTTCCAGACTTCATGAATTCAAGCGTCGTACGAGGCTGGCATGCCGCTCTCACCCTTTCACTGTCGAAACTACTAAATGTAGCCGTCTCTTCTACTCCAATAGCTTCATGCCTCGCACATCCCGCCTTTGGCACTCCATTCCCTATTCCAGTTTCCCTGAGAGCTATAATCTCCAACTATTCAAATGTAATGTCAATTGGCATCTCCAGTTGCCTTAATCTATCCACTATCCTTCTCCTCATCCTTTCCTCTATCAATCCTATTTGATCTTGCTCCAAATCTTCTGCAACCCCTTGCTTAAAAGAAAAAAAAGTTAACCTTTCTAAAAACCTACCCATTTAATTTTTCAAATAGTCTGACTGCAAGTGGTAATTATAATTTTAATTCTTTTTAAAACTCCGCTAAAATTCCTTTACTGTACTTGTATCTCCAGCATACGCATGTATCTTCAAACAAATGTTTTACTTCAATATTTTATCTAGATTAAAGTCAAATTATAAATAAATAATGTCGAATATATATTTAATGATCGACTAAGATTTCCTCAAAAATGAAATTTTAGTCTTCACAAATAATTCAAGTAAAAGAAAGTCACAGAAATTTCTGAAATTTTATTAGTATTGCACATAATTTTACTCTGGTTAACTATCGATTTGAACAGATGCTTCATATCATGAATATCTAGATGCAGTGATTTTTAAGGGCACACCACATAGAAACTAAATCCGTTATACGAACTAACATTTCATAATATCCAGATTTTCAAAGAATTATAATTGTCTGAGAATACCTCCTTTCCTGTCTCCTGAAAAGTCTATTAACTCCACTCGGATTTCACATGATCAAATCCTATTTTATGATTGCATTATATAAATTGCCAAACGACCACCCACCGGTGTTTTACGCAAGGCGAGGCGGCTGTAATATAATTTACTTTAAACCGACCGGTTTGTGATACGCGATCAAAGTATTAAACCTAGATTCAGGAGATTTTTTTTTTTTTTACAATACTTTGGGAATTATATCGTAGACACTGATATTATATATATATTCGTCAGAAGATTTTATAAAAATATTTTCTTTAGAGAAAAGCATTTTATACCTTAAATATAAATATATATCATTAGTATTATCTAAATAGGCCAGACTGAGTTACATGGACAAATCAATAAATCTATGGGCGGATGAGCTGAATTAGGATCTGAAGTTCTCAGTGCATAATGTTTTTTTTTTCAGTATAATCTAATTCCATGCTAATACAATTCAACTAAGCCCTCTTCAGTAATCACAGAGAACGAACAAAATACATGGGGGGGATTTCATAACGTAATTAAACTCATAACTGAGAATGCCTGATCCACGTGCCGTTTGCATACAGACAAATTCGTATATACGTAGATACTAAAAATATGCCCAGCTATTTATTTTTACAGAATCTACAAATTTCAAGAATGCACTATAAACTTTAAATCGCTCAAGTTGTCATCCACATAGCTTCCTAAATTTGTTGTCAGTCCATTTTTCATTGTCCAGAATATGTCTTGTCACACATATCGCTCTCGCTTTTCGTAGCAATTATATGCGCTCACGTTCTCTCTTTGTAAGCGTTCAATAACTATCAATCAATGACAACATGTGAACTTTTCCGCTTGTTCAAATACACTAACTCGCCTTCGCACTGGATGCATTTCCATGACAGATTTTTTTTTTTTTTGCAGAGACCACTAATCAATCAATCTGTAGTAACGCCAAAATAAATATGCCGTATTGGTGCATCCATTCATCGTTCACTTCCATAAAACTAAGTTCCACCTCTGATATATTAACTAAGAAATCAGATGCATTATTTTCGGAGCAACAGGTGTACTATATAAATTTCCCATACAGGTAATATTTACAATGTAATAAAATTCATATATTTAATAGTTTTATATTCAATGATAATAACATTAATATATTTAATACATTTTCCTATCCAATGATAATTTTCTATATGTAATAAAATTCATATGTTTATTACATTTATTTATATTTAATGATATCAATAATTTTCTATATTTTGTAAAAAAAGAAGTGAAATTATTCAAAAGAAAATAATAATAAATGAAAATAATATTGGCTACTGAAAAAAATGTGTATTAGAAACTGACAGATGACGAGTAACAACCCAATTCCAGTGGTTTGCTGAAATGCTTTCTACCTGGCCAAAAAGACATTGCTAAATAATTGTGATATTTGACTATTTGATCAAAATTTGAGAACGGTACGTGCTGTGATCTCAATACAACTCCATGCATATCCGTTTCAGTTTAGTTGATTAATGACAGAAAAAAACTGTTCGATTACAGTCAATGATCAGTTAACTTATTTGACTTTCAGGCATATTAATCTTACTTCATTCCAACCAGGAGAATTCAAGATATTTTAAAGTGAAAAATATTTAATGTATAAATGTAAATATTATTAACTAGACCTTGTTTACAGATTATGAAGTTTAAATAAAAAAAAAGAAAAAATGTTAATCGAAATACCCCCCAAAAAAAAAAAAAATACTAAAGGTTTCGATGTTCTTTGACTTTGTATATATCTATATTGAGTTGAAGAATTGTCTTCACAGTTAATGATAGAGAAAATGAAATATGAATCTCTGGACGAGTTGATTCTCACAAAATGCTCGAAATGATTATCGCTGGCAACATGTAACCGGTAACAAACAGATTATGAGAATTTAGAGAGCAGACAAACAACGGCAGTTAAGCGTTATTTCAGACATAAAACAACTATCGCATTGACCACAGTAACATCGAAACATTCGGTCTTGATATAAATCTCTAATGATCAAATATCACGCCAGTGAGATTGTTTTTTCATGTTGGTTTTACACTGCGTAAAGTGTTCAACTATATATATATATATATATATATATATATATATATAAATGAAAGTCCGACAATTATTTTAAGACATTTTTATAATAAAATACATGTTTATAATAAACAGTATTAACAACATTTACCGGCCTGAATATCCGAGAAATTGTCATATTATAAACAGAGCATTTGCTTAAATATTTCTATCTATAAAAAAAGAATGTATAAACATAAAAAAATGTCTTAAAATAATTGTCGGACTTTGTCCATTTCATGATATGTGACGTCATTTGTTTACATTTGGATAAGCATTGAGCAGATATGAGTGTACGTGAGAAAATCATGGAAAATTGTAGTTTAAAAACAGTAAAATCTATCGTGCTAACCGAAACGCTCTTCTTGCGAAATCGGTAAAAGCATGTCAGACTATATGCCGATTCCTGTCCGAGGACGCATATTTTCTATAACAATTTCTCCGACATTCAGGCCTGTAAATGTTAATACTGTTTATTATAAACAGAGCATTTACTTGTATATTTGTATCTATAACAAAAAAATGTCATGATATATGTATAAACAAAAAAAAAATGTCACATATATATACGTGGACTCTCCCGTCGTATTCGATGTATGAAAGTCAAACAACTCAGTTCCTAGGAAGCGGCACACAACAACTCAGTTCCTAGGAAGCGGCACACAACAACTCAGTTCCTAGGAAGCGGCACACAACAACTCAGTTCCTAGGAAGCGGCACACAACAACTCAGTTCCTAGGAAGCGGCACAACAACTCAGTTCCTAGGAAGCGGCACACAACAACTCAGTTCCTAGGAAGCGGCACAAACAACTCAGTTCCTAGGAAGCGGCACACAACAACTCAGTTCCTAGGAAGCGGCACACAACAACTCAGTTCCTAGGAAGCGGCACACAACAACTCAGTTCCTAGGAAGCGGCACACAACAACTCAGTTCCTAGGAAGCGGCACACAACAACTCAGTTCCTAGGAAGCGGCACACAACAACTCAGTTCCTAGGAAGCGGCACACCAGCACATACCTTTTGATTATAGTGGTGAAAGCCTTGTGCAGAACCATCCACAGT